CCCCAAAAACCTCGAACCCCAACCCATCCCCGATTCCCGTGCCCCCCTCCCCGGCTGAAAGGCACCGCCGGGCCCGGGTGGGACGCTTTGCCCCCATCCGCGGCTGCGGGGCGGGCGGGGGCGCGGAGCCCCCGGCGCTGGATGGCAGAGGAGGAGGAGGAGGCGCGGGGCGGGCGCGGCCGCGGAGAGGCGAGGAGAGGAGAGGAAGAGGCGCCTTCCCCCCGCGGAGGGGGTGTCCTGCTCGGCGCGGCGGGGGAGAGGAGCGCGGACATCTCCGGCGTGAACTGAAACTGTGGCAAAAGGAGAGGGGAGGGGGGGGGGTTGAAAAAAACATCAAGATTGCTTTTTTTTTTTTTTTTTTTCCCTTCTTCTTCTTCCCCCGTTAGGAAAAGGGGGTTTGCTCAGCATCCGCACGCAAACTTACTTGAATGCCTTGTAGCCAGTTTAGCCCAGAGAGCAGAGGATACCCCGCACCCGAGGAGTCCTACATGTGTGAGCATCATCCTCACACTGGCAGAGCAACCGAGAGCCGCCTCCTTGCCTTTACCAACATCCTCCTGGGACTGAGCTCTCCCTCCTCTGGTCCAATATCCGAGCCTATCTCCTCTATATCTGGTTTGGTGTTTTTTCTTCTTCTTCCCCCGTTAGGAAAAGGGGGTTTGCTCAGCATCCGCACGCAAACTTACTTGAATGCCTTGTAGCCAGTTTAGCCCAGAGAGCAGAGGATACCCCGCACCCGAGGAGTCCTACATGTGTGAGCATCATCCTCACACTGGCAGAGCAACCGAGAGCCGCCTCCTTGCCTTTACCAACATCCTCCTGGGACTGAGCTCTCCCTCCTCTGGTCCAATATCCGAGCCTATCTCCTCTATATCTGGTTTGGTGTTTGTTTGTTTTTTTTTTTTTTTTCTTTTTTTTTTTTTTTTTTTCCTCCATCGGCTGGGATTGCCAAGTAAATAAATAGAGGAAAATTCCTTAAAGGGCACCTGAAAATTCATTGGGACCGAACATGAGGAAGTGAAATGCTCACAGACCGTTATTATTTTTTTTTTTAATTAAAAAATATGTATTCAAAACGCGGATGGGATGTATTAGGTTTAGCAAATAGCAGGTAAGAACTTTCTTTCTTTCCAGTACCTTCATGCCCGGAGCGGGGATATCTAAAGCAAAGCCGCCCAGCCCTGGAATAAAGGGGGAGCAAAGAGACCAGTTTGCCCTTCAGTGCTTCCTCCATCCTGCGCGGCGAGGCTGCTTTGGGGAGCGGCAGAGCCCAGGACAGAGACAGAAAGCCTTTCGACAAGGCAGCCGGGGCGGAGGAAGGGTGGGCTTTTTTTCCTTCTTCTTCTTCTTTTTTTTTTTTTTTTTTTTTCTTCTTCCCCCCCTTTCACCTGCGCTACCCAGGGTGAATCCGTGTGCAGCTGATGTATGGAAAAGAAGAAGGATCCGAGTCGATATTTTCTTTTCTCTTCGCTAAGCCGAGGGATAGGATTTTAATTATTTATCCACCCGAACCCTCTCTGGGTAAGACGCTGCTGGAGCCAGTGGGATAGTCCTGCCTCGCACAATTATTAAAGAGACTGATCACGTACCGTGGAAGGATAAGAGGAGCCTCCACCAGCCCCGTTTCGCCTCCTGTGGAAAAAAAAATATAATAATAATAATAATCATGAAGGAGAACATTGCCACACTATTGAATTGATTGCTGCCCCCCCCCCTCTCC